ATGAGAACATTAGTAACAATAGCCGATGGCAGATGTAAGAACCCTGCGGTCCTCCAGATTTTTTTGAACATCCATAACCACGAACCACACTATCTAAAGATGACAAGCCGAGAAAAAGACATCTTGTTGCCCAAGGTGAAGAATAATACTTTGCCCACTCCTGCTCCATTCCACATACAAAACCCAGCCTGGACTTGCAGTTTAGTGTTATTTTTACATACATAATGGATCAGTATTCTCCACAACTCAGAGCAACAGCCCAACTTACAGGCAGATAATGGGTCCTATGACTCTATCTAGATAATTCCATTTTCCAACATCTAAGGGCTCTTCCACACAGCCCTATATCCCAGAATACCAAGGCAGAAAATCCCACAATATATCTGCTTTGAACTAGGTTATCTGAATCCACGTTCAGATAATGTGGGTTTTTCTGCCTTGATATTCTGGGATATAGGATTGTGTGGAAGGGCCCTTAGAGGTGTTTCCAATCCCCCAGCATCTGCAACCTGAGGCAATGACTCATTCTGCTTAACCGTTAAGAGTCCAGTACCTCCAAAGCTACAGATCATCCATTTGACCTATGAGATTAGTTCACTAGCCTACGGTCTGAGCTATGGAAATATCACTTCCACCACTATAGGTTTAGCCTCCCTCACCTCCCAGTTTGGACTATAAGCTGCCAGTGGATTAGTCACTGTGGCACCCCACATCAATGATCGAGTAATCAAACTAGCTACTGCTAACAGGTAAAGTTCAATGTGCCATGGAAAAACAGAGTAGCCTGTGAATAAATTGCAGTAGAAAGCCAGGTTGTATGCCTGTTTGTGTGAACCGGAGCATTAGCTCTATATAACAGCACATGGACAACTAAAAACTATTTGTACCTGATTGCACCAACAAGACTTGACTAAAAACACTCCACTTGTGTCCCAACATATCAGTGGCTCTGAGTTTTTTGTGGTTTTTTTTTTGTCTGGTTAGCCTCAAAGGACTTTCCTGCAAATATTTTTCTTGCAGATACAAAGTGCAACAGCTGCACCTAGTCATGGAAAATTATAAATCACTGACCAGTTTTCCATTCACAGTAATCAGCATTTAAAGACACAAGAAATATATTTGAAACAGTGTGCAAGAAGCATTCTTATGAGAAAAGCAAGGTAACAGGACAGTTAGATCTGAGCAAAATACTTGAGAAAATTATGTACTGTATGCCTCTGCTCATTCAAATTATAGTCCACTTCTGATGTTACTATAATGTTTGAAGGACTTCAGAAGAGTAACTCCTTACAGTACAATAGTATACATATTTTGAAGTAGACAAGTCCTACTGAACTCAAGATTTAGTTCCAGACAACTTGTAATAGCAAGAAGAGGGAAAATATGCCCCCTCTGAGTCTAAAGTTATGCAATATAATGCAAGTAGATAGACATGAAATTGCTAAGATATAAAATTAGTGCTCACCACAGGACTGTATCAAAGCAGATCCTCTGACAACGATCCCAATGAATGCTTTTTAAGACATTGCTTTATCCCACTGCTACTAAGAATGCCTTGTGCCCCCACTAGCCTCTTTATGCCAAATTTGGCTTCCTACATACGTCCCTCATCAATTTTGTTAGAGCTCATTGTCCTTCCAGTAATCATTTCATCACCTTTCTAAAGTGACGCACCACTGGCCTCCAACGCACTCACTTGGCCGGCAGAAACTACAAAATTAAAAATCAGTGCCAGAAGCCTGAGGTTGGAGGCTCTTCCCTTTCACAATTAATCCCACTATTGTGCTCACCCATCTACAGCACTCACTCTCCCTTTTGTTTTCCTAGAGAGAAGAGCCCCTTGAAATACCCATGGCACAAATCTAGTCTGGCAAGGGAGGAAATTACAGTGATATTCATAGACTCATCTTTTTGAGAGGATTTAATTGTAGAGAATGACAGCCTTAAACATTTCAAATACAATGTCTTGTTATCTTCTGTTGTTGTTTTTTTAAGCTGTGAAGATACCAGAGGAATCCCAAATGCTCCAGTATGTGGCAGATTAATCTCTGTTTGGGCATATTAGGTAACAGAGAAAACAAGAGGAATCTCTCGCAGTTGAATGGCACATCAGTTCAGCCTCTCAAAAGTCAAATAATTTTTACTTTTTTAAAGCAACTGCAACTTCCTAAATAGATCCCTTTTCTGTATTTTTCACCTTCTTTCTTTCTCCTAAAAATAAGAAAGTACTGTCCTAATTATAATTCTTTAAAAATCCAAAGGATGGAAGCGTTGCCAGGTGAGAATTTAAGACTACCTGTGTTACATAATGTTCAGATTCATTATCTGAGGTCTCTTCCACACAGATGAATAAAATTCCACATTATCTGCTTTGAACTGGGATATACGGCAGTATTCCACTTCAAAGCAGATATTGTGGATTATTCCGCTTTGATGTTCTGGGTTATATGGCTGTGTGGAAGGGCCCTGAGGCCCCTTCCACACAGCTGAATAAAACTTACATTATCTGCTTTGTACTGGGATATATGGCAGTGAGGACTTAGGGCCCTTCCACACAGCCATATAACCCAGAACATCAAGGCAGAAAATCCCACAATATCTGCTTTGAACTGGGTTATCTCAGTTCACACTGCCATATATCCCAGTTCAAAGCAGATAAAGTGGGATTTTATTTAGCTGTGTGGAAAGGGCCTCAGTTAACCCAGTACAAAGCAGACTCAGGGCTCTTCCACACAGCCTTATATTCCAGAATATCAAGGCAGAAAATCCCACATTATTTGCTTTGAACTGGAATATATGGCAATTTGGACTCAGATAACCCAGTTCAAAGCAGATATTGTGGGATTCTCTCCCTTGATATTCTGGGATATAGGGCTGTGTGGAACAGCCCATTGTGTGTTATTCTGCCTTGTTATTCTGGGTTATATGGCTGCGTGGAAGGGCCCTGAGGGTCCTTTCACACAGACATATAACCAATAATATTAAGACAGAATAAGGGCCCTTCCATACAGTCCCATACTCCAGAATATCAAAGCAGAAAACCTCACAATATCTGCTTTGAACTGGGTTATCTGCAGTGTGGACTCAGATAATGTGGGATTTCCTGCCTTGATATTCTGGGATATAGGGCTGTGTGGAAGGGCCCTTAGATAAGTTCTGTAACACTTCCATTTTCCTCTTTCTTTTTCAGAGAACTTGCACCTTACAGGCTGAGTATCTATTATCCGAAATTCCAGAATTGTCCACATGGGTGGCTGAGAGAGTGACACCTTTGATCTTCAGTGCTTCCATGTCCACAAACTTTGTTCCATGGACAAAACAATGAAAATATTTTATAAAATCACTTTCAGGCTATGTTTATGGTACACACGCACATATATGACACAGACATTACTTTCCTGCTTAGACTAGGGTTTCATTTCCAAGATCTTTACATACAAATACAGATATTCTGAAGACCAAAAACTCTAAGGGTGTATTTGAACTACAGCATGAATGCAGTTTCCTATCACTGGGTTGTTGTAGGTTTTTTGGGCTATATGGCCATGTTCTAGAAGCATTCTCTCCTGACGTTTTGCCTGCATCTATGGCAAGCATCCTCAGAGGTTGTGAGGTCTGAGGAAGCATGCCATAGATGCAGGCGAAACGTCAGGAGAGAATGCTTCTAGAACATGGCCATATAGCCCAAAAAACCTACAACAACCCAGTGATTCCAGCCATGAAAGACTTCAACAGTACAGTTTCCTATCACTTTGACTGCCTTGGCTCAGTGCTATGGGATCGTGGGATTTGCAGTTTGTTGAGAAGCCAGCACTATTTGGCAGAGAAGGCTACCGTCATTGTAAGACCCATGATTCCACAGCACTGAGCCTTAGCAGTTCAATTAGTGTTAAACTGCATGAATCCTACAGTGTAGATGAGCCCCAAGTCACTCTCAGCTAACACTAGCCAATTTAAAAACAAGCTACAGCTTCCAGAATCCCAACACATTGAAAATGGTGTCGAAGTGCATCAATTCCACAACGACTGTAGAGCAGACATGGGTCAACTTGGGTCCTCCAGATGTTTTGGACTTCAACTCCCAGCATTCCTAACAGCTTCAGGCCCTTTTCTTTTCCCCCTCAGCCTGTTGTAGAGGCACCCTTTGTTGCTTCTGCAGGAGTGGTCCATCATGATTCCAACTCTCAGGATGAACTAAAGTGGTGCCAAACTGCATTCCACAGTGTAAAGACACCCCAAAACACACCTGGTCTCAAATACTTTGAATAAGAGACGCTCAGCCTGTTGCAACAACAACACGCTCAGCAACAAGGCCTTTCCTTCTCACAGATGAGGTTGCTCACACATAGGGCCTTCCACACAGCCATACAACCCCGAAAAATATCCCACAATATCTGCTTTGAACTGGTTTATCTGAGTCCACACTGCCATATATCCCAGCTCAAAGCAAATAATGTGGGATTTTGTGTGGAAGGGGCCTGAGTTGACATGGAAAACCAAGAGCTTCTGCTACTTTCCTCCTAAACCCCATTCGCCCAACTTTCTCTACTTGTCAAAGGCAGCAAAACCCAACCCCGGTCTAGAAAGAAGGAAAGTGCATAGGCTGGTTCAAAGGGGAGCCTTACAAAGCGTTACTTACATCTACACTGCAGAATTATTGCAGTTTGACACCACTCGAACTGCATGGGCTCAATGCTATAGAGTCCTGGGAATTGCAGTTTGGCGAGGCACCAGAGAAGGCCAAGCTACAACTCTCTCCCATGACTGCCTAGCACTGAGCCAGGGCAGTTGAAGCGGTGTCGAACTGCATTCACCCTCCAGTGTAGAGCTGCACCCGTGGTGGCCTTCCAAGATTCAGGGCGCTTGGTAGCTCTCAGCCTTCTCTTCCTCCTCCTCCTCCTCCTCCCCGGAGGCCAAGTACCTTTGCTCTGTTTACATTGCAACGCGGTGGAAAGGAGGCGAGGAAAGAAGGAAGGAAGGAGCCTTTGGGGCTGGCTTACCCGGCGGCTGGAGAAGGGGAGCCGCGCTCGTTCCGGCTCCTACCGGCTCCTTTCCTCTCCCTTATGCAAAGGAGGAGGAGAAGTGAAGCCCCGCTTCCACGCCTCCCGGTTGTGGCTTCCAGCTCGCGCGCTCTCTCTCTCTCTCTCTCTCTCTGGAGCCGGTGCGAAGCAGAAAGCAAACGGGGAAAGTGGGTTGGAAGGGTCTGGTTTCCAGCAACAACATGAAAGCGGGCAGGCAGGCAGGCAGGCGAGGGGGCGGGGCCTCCGAGGGGGCGGGGCCACGCAGAGCAGCCTCGTCTCACTACTGGAGGGCCTCCCGCGGCGCGTGGCGGGCTCTGTTGCCTCTTTCTCTAGGACGGGTTTCCCTCTAAGTAGGGAGCTGGGAGTGGTAACGGCCGACAGGGAGCTCTGGCGTGGGCTGGTCCATGAGGTCACGAAGAGTCGGAGACGACTGAACGAATGAACAACAACAGGTTCTGAGTTGGTTAGGGCCCTTCCACACAGCCCTATATCCCAGAATATCAAGGCAGGAAATCTCACAATATCTACTTTGAACTGGGTTATCTGAGTCCACAACAGATTCGGATAGTTAAAGCAATGGTATTCCCCATAGTCACCTACGGATGTGAGAGCTGGACCATAGGGAAGGCTGAGTGAAGGAAGATAGATACTTTTGAACTGTGGTGCTGGAGGAAAGTTCTGAGAGTGCCTTGAACAGCGAGAAGATCCAACCAGTCCATACTTCAGGAAATAAAGCCCGACTGCTCATTGGAGGGAAGGATATTAGAGACAAAGTGAAGTACTTTGGCGACATGATGAGGAGACAGGAAAGCTTGAGAAGACAATTATGCTGGGGAAAATGGAAGGAAAAAGGAAGAGGGGCCGACCAAGGGCAAGATGGATGGATGGCATCCTTGAAGTGACTGGACTGACTTTGAAGAAGCTGGGGGTGGTGACAGCCGACAGGGAGCTCTGGCGTAGGCTGGTCCATGAGCTCACGAAGAGTCGGAGATGACTGAAAGAATGAACAACAACAAGCAGAGTCCTCACTCAGGGCCCTTCCATACAGCCCTATTTCCCAGAATATCAAGGCAGGAACCCTCACATTATCTGAGTGGCCTCAGATAACCCAGTTCAAACATATATTGTGGTATTTTCTGCCTTGATATTCTGGGATATAGGGCTGTGTGGAAGGGCCCTTAGTAAGAGTTGAGAGTGACTTAGGGTGCATATCAAGGCATGGGCAAACTTTGGACCTCCAGGTGTTTTCGACTTCACCTCCCACAATTCCTAACAGCCTCGGGCCCTTTCCTCCCCCCCCCCCAATCACTTGTTGGATTTTCTTAGTGGGAGCCCTTCCACACAGCCCTATATCCGAAAATATCAAGGCAGAAAATCCCACATTATCTGCTTTGAACTGGGTTATCAGAGTCCTCACTCTGGACCCTTCCACACAGCCCTATATCCCAGAATTTCAAGACAGAAAATCCCACAATATCTGCTTTGAACTGGGTTAGAAGAGTCCTCACTCAGGGCCCTTCCATACAACCCTATATCCCAGAATATCAAGGCAGGAAACCTCACATTATCTGAGTGGACTCAGATAACCCAGTTCAAAGCAGATATTGTGGGTTTTTCTGCCTTAATATTCTAGGATATAGGACTGTGGAAACGGCCCTTAAGTGAGAGTTGAGAGTGACTTAGGGTGCATCTACACCAGGCATGGGCAAACTTTGGCCCTCCAGGTGTTTTGGACTTCAGCTTCCACAATTCCTAACAGCCTCAGGCCCTTTCCTTTGCCCCCTCAGTCACTTGTTGGATTTTCTTAGTGGGAGCCCTTCCACACAGCCCTATATCTGAGAATATCAAGGCAGAAAGTCCCACATCTGCTTTGAACTGGATTATCAGAGTCCTCACTCAGGGCCCTTCCACACAGCCCTGTATCCCAGAATATCAAGGCAGGAAATCCCACATTATTTGAGTGTGGACTCAGATAACCCAGTTCAGAAAATCACACATCTGAGTGTGGACTCAAATAACCCAGTTCAAAGCAGATATTGTGGGATTTTCTGCTTTGATATTTTGGGATATAGAGCTGTGTGGAAGGGCTGAGAGTGAATTAGGGTGCATCTACACCAGGCATGGGCAAACTTTGGCCCTCCAGGTGTTTTGGACATCAACTAATTCCTAACAGTCCCAGGCCTTTCCCCCCTCTCAGTCATTTGTTGGATTTTCTTAGGGCCCTTTCACACAGCACCGCTTGAGCTCTGTGAGCACAACATTCTTCCAAATGAAGCAGAGAATGTTTGAGGACCAGAACATCCGTAGGGATACCAAGGTGCTTGTTTATAAAGGCATTGTCCTTCCAACCCTGCAAAACATGGACTGTCTACAGATGTCATACACAGCCCCATCAGTGTTGCCTCTGAAAAATCCTGAAAATCTCTTGGGAAGACAGGCGGACAAACAACAGCGTGCTGGAAGAAACAAAGACCACCAGCATTGAAGCGATGGTTCTCCGCCGTCAACTCCGCTGGACCGGCCATGTTGTCTGGATGCCCGACCACCATCTCCCAAAGCAGTTGCTCTACTCCGAACTCAAGAACGGAAAACGGAATGTTGGAGGACAGGAAAAGAGATTTAAAGATGGCCTCAAAGCCAACCTTTAAAACTGTGGCATAGACACTGAGAACTGGGAAGCCCTGGCCCTTGAGTGCTCCAGCTGGAGGTCAGCTGTGACCAGCAGTGCTGCAGAGTTTGAAGAAGCATGAATGGAGCCAATACCAACCGGGAGCACCTTCCACCTGGAAGTGTAACCGTAAGTTGGAAATGATTTGAAGGCACACAAGAAAACAATGTGTCTGTGTGTATGCGTATATATCCTAATGTGAGTGCTCAAGCTTTTTTACAACAGCATTTAATGCTCTGTTTTTAAAAATGAATATGATGCCAGTGGGAAAGTTGATCTGTTATAATGTTAAGACACCTGGACAATATAAAGCAGAAAGATCCTACAAACTGAAAATTCAAGTAGTCAAGCTGGTGTAGAATGGTAGGGTGAAACAACAGAGACAAAACACGGCAAAGACTCTCAGATCCTGACTTGGGAGCATCCTGACAAGGATAGTATGCTCCCACAACTGGAGGAAGCCCAGTCTTCCTTGTTCAATTCAACAAAATATGGAAGTGACACCTAGCATCTTTATCCACTGCTGATATGTGAAGGTGTACAGTATTTAAAAATGCTATATTCCATTTTAGCTGCCATGGAAATTTTAATAATTCATTTGATATTAATTGCAGACATGAGGGGAGCGTATGAAGTTTAAGAATATAAATACGGTCAAAGTATAAAAAACAGATAGAAAAGTTGAGAATGTTCGGGTTTAACTGATGAATGACATAAGGCCTCAGGGGAAGGTAAATGTTAATTATGTGTGTGAGGATAATTTTAATGAGAAGAGATAATTATGTTGACGTACAATAAATATTTGAGTGCCTCCTTCTACGCCAACAATATGGAATATTTTGCTTCTGTATCAAATAATCAAAGTTCTTTTTCCTGTTCTATGATTTGGAAGAACAGGGTGTTATTGCTAGAAGAGAGAATATGTGAGTAGGAGCGGAAGGGAAATATTTAGATATAAATTACTGATTTTGAATGCACATATTACTTTTGAGTTTCTTGACTAGCCACTGGTCTCTGTTACTAACCAGGTTGGTTAGGAAGTCAAATTATTTAGCTTTGGGGGGGGGGGGGACCTGCATGAATCTGTATATAAGTGCACATACTCTCGTATTCATGTGCTCATGTGTTGCTGCATGCTTGCATGATTAAACAATGAGCACAAACACAGAGCCACCAGGGTTTAAAGAGTTAGAGTGATTCATTTTATATTTGTCATGTTCGTTTGCATTGGTCATGAAGCATCTGTTACTGACTAATTCAAGAGATAGAAAATCGTGCTAGATGGACACATGCTTTATAATAGCCTGGTTGCAAAATGAGACAGATTCCAGAATAATTGGCAAATATAATTTTACACACCATTTATGAATTCAGATTTAACTTCTGTGACTTTTTATGGGAACTGCTAGTTGGCCACAAAGCCAATCATTATATACTGTAGAAATTGCCACTTTTTAAAGTGGTGGTTGAGATTAACTTGAACAAGGAGGATGCAAGGCAAGTAAGAACCAAAGGATCCTGATAGAATTTCAGGGACGTGTTAAGAAAAAATACCAAAATTGAACATTGTTGGAGAAAAGGCACAGTAAATTATTCTTTGTACCATTGTCTCTCATTTCCTTTTGCTACTGCTGATTGTCAATCAGACCTATTGTATTTTTGGAAATGGGAGGTATTTTCTTTTGCTATTCCTTTCCTTACATTGCAAGGACTCTGGGTAGAAACCATGTTACATTAGAACAATGGTTCTTAACCTGTGAGTTCCCAGGTGTTTTGGCCTACAACTCCCAGAAATCCCAACTGGTTTACCAGCTGTTAAGGTTTCTGGGAGTTGAAGACCAAAACATCTGGGGACTCATAGGTTGAGAACCACTGCATTAGAACATAGTGGGTTTGTTACTTGTCAAGATGATTTGGCTTACAGTGAATGAAAGATCTCTGAGAGTCTTGGGCATCAACTGTCCTGCTCAGGTGTTTTTACTGAATTGATTGAATCAATACAAGTGTGGGGTGGTTTCCCTCTTTTCCTACTGAACTCCATTTTATCCATGAGTTGTGCCATTTCATAACATGCCCAGAGTACAACAGTTATGTTTAGTTTTTCACCTCAAGGAAGATTTTCAGATTTGAGTTGCTCTAAAACCTATTCATTTTTCAGCAATCCATAGTAACTCTCATCCAGCAACTCATTTCTTTCCTGTTGATTTTTTTTCTCCCTAGTCATCTTTCTTCATTCTCCAGCTTTTAAAATCATAAAAGACATTTCTTATTCATGGCAAACCTAAGATGAACCTATAATGCAGACTTCTTGGCTGAATTTGTTCAGAAAGGGTTTTACTCTGCCTTCCTTTGAAACTGAGAGTGTGTGGCATATCCAAGGTCATCCAGGTGTATCCCTGCAGAATTAATGTGGTTTAATACCGCTGTAACTTCTATGTCTCAAAGCTATGGAATTTGTGTGAGCTGTATTTTTACAAGGTCATTAGTTTTCTCTGTCAAAGAGTGCTGGTGCTGCACCAAACTACAATTCCCATAATTCCATAGCAACAAGCCATGGCAGTTA